AAAATATTTAATTTGTAAAATCGTTAGCAGGCTAACAAGCAGTTAACATAATATATTTCCTTATATAAACTAATTTTCGATTTGTAAAACACTTCGAAGTTGTGAAATAATAGGAAAGCATGATATTTTATTCTTGTCCATACCCTATATTGATAGTCGTATATGTGAAAATATATGTTATCAGCAAGAAGGATATCACATTCATTGGAAAAGGCGATTTTGTATTCCTTGTGGTGAATGTGATACATCAATGACTTCTTCTAATGGAATGTGTGTAAAACATGCTGGAAAGTATTATAGTAAAGCTAATTATTATAAAAAATAAACTTTCATCTTCAACCACTAGTGTTCCAAATCAAAATCGATCTGATAGACCTCGAGAACAGAGAAGGATTCCCCCTTTTTTCTTCCTCCAGTCATGAATTCAAAAAAAGAAAATCTATCTTAGACAGATTGACCATCTCCTGCAGATGCATAGCATCAAAGGGAGGAAACTGCTTGACCACTCTGGCTACTTTGGACATGGATATTTCAGGATCCACTGATTGGAATCATACAAATGCAGACTTATTTGGAAGCCCTTAATCAGGACTAGCCAGGCCAGAGGGATTCGAAAAATCATGGGTGCTAAAGCATATATATACCAAATTTCAGATGGACTAATGCCGAGGATGTTTTGAGAATATTCCTGGAACTCAATATTTATGCATTTATATTACTTAATTTTTTTTATGTTTTGCGTACATGCTCTGCATCCTTGTTGCTCCGCAACCTCTGTGTACATATCTTGTGTAGATATGCTCCGCATCTTCAATGCTCTGCAACCCATCGCATCTTTGATGCTTCTCAATCTGTGAATATATCTTGTATACATAAGCTCCACATCTTTGATGCTTCTCAATACGTGAACATATCTTGTGTACATATGCTCCGCATCTTCGATGCTCCTCAATCTGTGAACATGTCTTGTTTACATATCTTGTATACATATGCTTTGTATCTTCGATGCTCCTTAATCCATAAACATATCTTGTGTACATATGTTCCGCATCTTTGATGCTCCTCAATCTGTGAACATATCTTGTGTACATATACTCCGCATCTTTGATATTCCGCAACCCGTCGCATCTTTGATGCTCCTCAATCTGTGAACATATCTTGTATACATATGCTTTGCATCTTCAATGCTCCGCAACCCGTCGCATCTTCGATGCTCCTTAATCCATAAACATATCTTGTGTACATATGCTCTGCATCTTCGATACTCCGCAACCTGTCGCATCTTCAAAACTTCTCAATCTGTGAACATATCTTGTGTACATATGCTTCGCATCTTCGATGCTTCGCAGACTTGGCATTCATATTTGCTTTATGATTTGCATACCATCTGCCCACTTATTATATTCACAATTTGCTTACCACTCCACTTCATTTCGCATACAGTAAGCTTATTTGCTTTCAAAAAACCTGTGCTAAATAAAATAACAAATTAGTATTTATACAATTTCAAAGAGTCTAGCTAAGTAAGATTAATAATTAGTATTTCAGAGATTGCAGAATCTCCCGCTAGGCAGAAAATATAATTAGTAATTATAATAAGCTGGAGATGCGAGAAATAGAAAAAGAATATAAAGCAATATATCAAGAAAGTATCCAGGAGGCTATAACTCCTTAGTGGGAACTGCCCTATTCCACCCCTATGGAGTGAAATTCGTCGTGTTGCTATTAAAGTTTAATAAAAATGAGTAGATAGGATTTGCTGAAGTTGTCAAATTATGCTAAACTTCAATTGCATGAATAGCAGTTTTGACGGTTAAAAAATTGTTTTTTTTCATCTAATATCTCCTTTATATTTTTTTTAAATAAGTGAATTAGTTTGAATTCCCATTCTATTTTAACCTTTAAAAATTTTGACATCACTGCTATTATTTTTAGATTTTCTTCATTATTATTTATCTCCTCCATTTTCATTATTAAGATGTTCCTTTGCAACACCAGTGTCATGCTTTCATTTAGACTAAAGATGGAGCTGTAATTAATTTTAAAATTTTTAGCTAGTTGCAACTTAAGTTGCAACTCATTGAGTTGCAACTATTTATAAATTTTTATATTAAAATAAATTTTGCAAGAAGTTGCAACCAGTTGCAACCCAAGTTGTAACTTACCGAGTTGCAACTTCTTAATTACAGTGCCATCTTTAGTTTAGACATTAAAGTTGAGGCATGTATAACATCACAAGGTTTGAATTATTAAAAGCTGATATTGAAGTTTTCGTTGAAATTTTTTTTTCATATTATATTTTTCTTTAAATATGGAATAAAGCAAATAATAATTTATAATCTTTTCTTTTCTTTTTTTTTAAAAATATTTTATGTTCATATATTGATAATTCATATTTTAATATTTGATTTCACGAAAATGTATTTACACAATTGTCTTATAATGCTAAAAAAGAGAAAAGCATCTTTATAATTAAAATCTTCTACCACTAAACAGGAGAATGCATCTTAACAACTAAGTCTTCTACTATCAAACATGAGAATGTATCTAATAATTTAATTTATTATCACCAAACAGGAGTTATATTCTTTATATAATGTATTTCTACCATAGAAGGATTATAGGAATATATCTTAATTGTAGAAGTGTTATTACAATGCACCTAAATCATAAAAGATTTTAATATAAAGCTCAATTTATCTTAAAAGGATTATTACATTATGAGAATATACTTTACACTGCTTCATATGTAAACTGCATCTTTTGAAGATTTTTATTATTATTAGGAATGCTAATGATTACAGTTATGACCGATCATGACGGTATTAGTGATAATCTTGTTATGACACACGATACTGCGCTAAATATAATTAACAAATGATAATCTTAACAATCATGATTCTTAACTTTAAATCATTTCTCTGATTTCTTTAATTTCACTAATTTCTTAGCGATCTCTAATTTTACATATTTCTCTAATATATTTAATTTCTTTATTTATTATATTTCTTATATTTCTTTACTATCTTAAATATCTATTTCATATTGATGTATTTTATCTAAATAACTTGTATTTTTGCTTCAATAAATGACAGAATCATTACCAATTCTCTAATAAGAATCAATTACATTTATCTTTAAAACTTATCTTTGCTCGTTAAACAATTTATTCTTCTTTAAATCTATATCAATAAAGACAACCTGATCTAGGGATTGGACCTGAGTCGAGTACAACCAGATTATCCACAGGTGGACCTAAGGTTGCTAGACGAAATCAAGAGTTTAAACAGAAGTCTAAATAGTAAAAGTAAAACTTGGTTAAATTATATTAAAACCTTATTAAAAAATCTGCGAAATTTGAAAAAATGTAAAACTATATCAAAGCTTATAAAAATGGCGAAACTATATCAAACACTTAGTAAAAATTTAGCGAAACTAAAGGTT